TTCTTTCTTATCCTAAAATATTAGATGCTGCAGTCATCCCGTAAGTTGGAAAACATAGTCACCCAAATTATTCTTGTTTTAAATTTCGAATTTTGTTTGCCTATGTAATTTGTCTTGCCATAGACTATCATGATTCTGAAGTATCAGTTTCTGGTTATCGTTTCCTACCAGGTTTCCTGATGCTGAAGCTGGTGAAGTTCCCATTGCCTTTGTGGTTCGATCTCATAACTGTTCACTAACAGAATTTGATGTCCAAAAGTTTATAGCAAATCAGGTACTGGTTAACATGCACATATTTTTTTTAAACTTAGCTTTTATAATAGCAATGTTTTTTTTTTTACATTATTTCTAGCTTTTCACTTGATGAACATTGAAGAGACTGAAAATACTTTGAATTATTATCGGGAATTTGTACAGAGCCTCTGTTATAAATAGATTGCACCAGAATGCCCAACTATGAGAGTAACCAGAATGCCCAACTATCAGAGTGCTCTGCTATATAGTGGATGCTAAATATGAGGGTGCAGATATTGTCGCTCCGTAGGAATGCAAGACTTAAACGACAGAAAAATGCAGGGGAAAAAAAAACAACGCAACGTCTCCTTTTAATTCCTCACTACCCCATTCATGCTATCATATAGGTATATAATTTTCCATACCATATATATATAGAGGAACTTATGAAAGGAAGCCCATACACAAACATATCAAGTTACCATATACACCTTGTTTTTTGCATTTGACAATGGCAACACTCGCATGTGATAATCTAAGTGTTTCATTGCTCATTGACTGATAATCATACTAGTTCATATTGACAGACACGACAGGTAAGCATATACTTAGTAAACGTTGATCATAATTTTGTAAGCCTCCTTTACCCATTAAGGTTCTCCTTGTGATTGAATTCATTTCTTATTATTGTTAAAGGTTGCACCCTTCAAGAGGCTAAGGAGGGTAACTTTTGTGAACAGTATCCCAAAATCTGCTTCCGGAAAAATCCTCAGAAGGGAACTCAGAGAGAGGGTAAAGTCCAAGTTGTAGAAATCGAGCACTACCCTGAAAAGAGCTGTAGCAGGTTTCAAGTTGTTCAATAACAGAAAGGCTCTCGCAGAGTCTGTTCTCTCGTAAATGGTGTATCAATTTCATCCCACCTCAATGTCACTTTGATGAAGCCTAAGACTAATAAGAAATAATCTACAACTCTGTTTGCAATTATATTTTTATACAAGAAAAATATGCAGAATACCTGTGATAATACCAATAAGTAAGTGCACAAAATTGCATTATCCTATCAAATCATTCGAACCAAAATTCTGCAGTTTGGCTGGGCTGTAGACGATCTCTGCTGTACTACTGAAATCTCAAGCTACAAAAGTACAAACGCATTCATTTCCGTATCAAATTACAGACTGCACATACATGAGGTAGTACATAAACAACAAGCAACATAATTAGGACACAATCAGGTTGGAAGCAAACGACAAGAATCCTCTACTGTACAATATAGAGAACGGCGCATTCATCATCAGAAGCTACATTTACCGCTGCAACAGAGCGACGACATTGGTCCTTAATGGCATCGACAGAATCACTGAGGCACAAGAGACAGACTCCAACATCAATATCCGTGTGGCAACTGGAAGTACCCGACACATGAGGCAACTCTGTTGGAAAAATTAAATATCAAATAAAATTATAGCATGTAAAATAAATCTGAAATAAAATAATAAGAAAGTCTGGCCTGATCGGGAGCAGTCGTGCAAACACTGCCCTAGAAGATTAAGGACCTGCATATCGCCCTAGCGCAGATGATCATCTCTCCCCTAGTCGTAAAAACCTCGGGAAGCGGACAACCTCTGTACTAGGGCGAGAGAACAGAGCTTCAACTCAGACGAAGAACGGTTACCCAAAAATAACACCAACATATGAACGAAAATAATATGTAGGGGAGAGAAGAGGAAGAAGAGAGAATTGTTTCTGTATATTTTCTGAAAGTGAATAAGGGGTGTATATATATAGGGTTGAGAAAGCAATTATAATTCCTACAATTAATACAGTAATGTTCGTTATAAATTTTCGTAACGTTCCCCATAATGTATAGTTGTTACGCACATTTTAATTGTGTTCATAACACTATCCCAAGTGGGACTATTCATGAAGGTAAAATTATCTTTTCTCCAATAAAATATCCAATAGCCCCCCCCCCACCCCCCCCCACCCCCCTAAAAAAAGGTAATGTTGACTGAAAACTCAAAATCAATAATTAAAACAATAAATCACAAAACAAATATAGGTTGGGCAACCTTTCGTATCGTGAATTTGAGAGAGGTTGCTTTCGGCTTTGAACCTTTTCTTAGTGAGTTCATCGCCACCTGAGGGACATAATAGACTAGGCCTAGAATTAGGCCCCTTTAATCAGGTATTGACGAAAACACACACAATACATCTTCATCTATTGAGCAAAGCGAATTAAGCGTTAAAGGTCATGCTCTCAATAACCGACTCATGAGAGTTTCAATGGGTCGACTCATGAGAGTTTCTAGGGGTTAGCCCAGCCCCCCCCAATCGCGGCCATCACGGTTCCTCTCACGTAGGTAAGTCCTCTAATGGTACTACAACTGGATATCATACCTCCGTAATACACGCATTGGACTTATTAAGAGAAAAACTCAGCCTAACCAGTTGTATCATAAGAGCATTGTCATCATAGAGAAGGGAAAGTAGCACATGCTACTATAATGATATATAAATATATCTAGGTCGATGCTCCACACGAGTATCACTAGTCTAGCTTGTTTCTATCACATTGAACCAACATTGGGACTATGTCTCCAAATAAGGGTTGGGTTGCCGCTGTCAGTGACCTCATCTATGGGCTTAACCCCATCCCCCTCGATGAATCCAGAACCACACTCCTGGATAGACCCTTTGTTAATGGGTCAGCAAGATTTTTTTAGACTTTACAAAGTCTAGAATCACAACTTTGCCTAAAATACGTTATATATATTTATCAAGTTATTTATAATTAATCTTTCATATTGTTTGACATTAGGTCCCCTTCTTGTTTAAGTTATTTTTCAAATCAATCTTTCCAGGCAAGAGTACAAGTAGCAAGAGGAGGGATTGATTTGAAACAAATTATAAGGATAAAGGAACCTAATAGCAATTTAATTATTTGATGGACTAATTTTAATATAACTTTTATTTATCATATAGATAGAAGTTATAAGACATACCTCTTGATTTAATTTTCCAGGACATTAATTCATCACATCTCCTGTAACTAGGCGTACTAGTTGACAGAGCATATTTATATCAACTCTAATCATTTCCTAAAATCTCAAGAGAAAATATTATACATGTAGTCAAATAAAGAGCTATAAAAATTAATCTTTCTAGTCACTATTAAAATGATAGGACATCAAAACATGTTAGCATAAAAGATCGTGGTCTATGATCATAAATGATCGTAGTTTATGTTTGAAGATGTAACTGCATATGGTTAGAATTTGCCCTTATTATCTGAACATTTCAAACTAATGTGGAACTAAAATACTGTAGTTATATCTTTTACATGCATGCATATGCACATACATGAATGAAATTACTAATAGTTACATGCAAAGCATTCAAGAGAACCTTATAATATGATTTCATATCTTAAAGTATATTTCATACTTCATATGCATAAATTTTAAATTCTCATATTATAAAAGATTGTAAATTTGTTACCTACAAAGGAGACCTTCCAAATTTAAATTGGTTGCCTACAAAAAAGATCTTCCAAATTTAAATTGGTTGCCTACAAAAGAGACTTTCTAAATTTAAATTTATGCATATGAATTGTTCTCATAATTTCGGTCCTCTTATTCATGCTTGAATATAAAATGTTTCATATGGAATTATAACAATTATCAAATAAATACAATCACATAAGCATATGATGTATATGTCCTATTTATATGGAAACCCCACATCGAATGATTTGTAATAAATTAATAATATTGCATATGATTGTAAAACAAAGATATAAATGAAAAGGTTTTTGTCAATACCACTAGACCAGAAACTTAGCTAGATCAGCTTTTAACCAAAAACTCCTAAAGTGAAAAGATTAAAGCTTTACCCGGGTAGTTTAGTCAGGTAAGGATAATACTAGAGGGAGATCAAAGATCAATTAAGTACCTCGTTCCTTGCGGAGCGCGTTACGCAACCTCTAAATTGTGTCTTAGACACTAACTAATCCAAAAAAACTTGAACCGGTTCACTTAAGGATTTCTAGTTCCTTAACAGCATATGTGAATAGTGATAGTTAACAAAAAATACATAAATAGTAATTGTAAAACTGTATCAGTAATTGTGAACAGTAAATACATGAACAGTACTGGTGAATATTAACTTCGCTGAACAGTAATAAATTTATTTTTTTAATAATAATTTTGGATTTAAAACAATAGCTATAAACTACTCAATCTTTTAGATTGTTGGAAAAATATCAAATAAAATTATAGCATGTAAAATAAATCTAAAATAAAATAATAAAAAAGTCTGGCCTGATCGGGAGCAGTCGTGTAAACACTGCCCTAGAAGATTGATGACTCACCTATCATCCTGGTGCAGATGATCCTCTCTCCCCTAGCGGTTAAAAACCCCGAAAGCGGTCGACCTCTGTATTCGGGCGAGAAAACAAAGCTTTAGCTCAGACGAAGAACGGTTGCCCAAAAATAACACCAACATATAAACGAAAATAATATGTAGAGGTGAGAAGAGGAAGAAGAGAGAATTGTTTCTGTATATTTTCTGAAAGTGAATAAGGGGTGTGTATATATATAGGGTTGAGAAAGTCATTATAATTCCTACAATTAATATGGTAACGTTCGTCATAAATTTTCATAACGTTCCCCATAACGTATAGCTGTTACGCACATTTTAATTGTATTCATAACACTATCCCATGTGGGACTATTCATGAAGGCAAAATTACCTTTTTTCCAATAAAATATCCAACAAACTCTATGTTAAAAATACGATTTGGGGCATTGGCTGATGCAAACCGCATTCTCTCAAGAATCGTGAGTATCTTAGCTTCAATGTCCCTATATTTTGGTAATTGTTCATTAATTTACGGGATTTTTGGCATATTGCAATTGTAAATGTATAAAAATTTTCCAAAAATTATAAATGCATCAAATATCATATGTAGAAAAATGTTGCATATAGTATTTCTATTGCGCCCGGCAGAAGAGGACTCAAACCATAACGAGTCGATAAGCAGTGCATGAAGAATCATAACGAGCACAATCCACAATGTAAACAGTTGGTTTTGGGGTGTGTAGACCCAAACCTGGGAACAAAATCAACATCTGGAAAAAGCCATCGAACGACTGGCATCAGTCGACCGAAGGGCTGACATCAGTCGACCGATTCGACTATAGAAAAGAAGCTGAAAAATGTTGCTTTTGTCGGTCGACTGGCGGGGTACCACCAGTCCATCGACAACTTGCACGAAGCAGCCGAGAAACCCCTTATCAGTTGACCGATGCAAGGGCATCAGCCGACCAATATCGGGTCATCTTGTTTGCTGATTCAGTTTGGAATCTATTTTGAGTTAGGGTTTTATATATTTCTTGAACGTTCTTTTGAGAGTTAATACACGAAGAAGAGAGGGTTTTGAGAGAACTTTGAGATCAGAGATATTAGAGAGAGAGAGTGACATATTGCAAGCTTTGTAATCTTCTTTAATAATCAAGAAATTTATGGTGTGGCTCCCGAGAACGTTGGCACATTTGCTGAACCTTATTAAATCTGGTGTTCTCTCTTTTATTTATTTTTTACTGCAAGTTTTTCAATTTACTGTGATTTCTTGCTTGCTAATTGTTCGTCACAAGATCTGGAGGGCACATGTTGTCGATTGTTCACCCCCAACAACTGGTATTAGATCCAGATTCGCCAAGTGTGAGAGCTATGGCAGAAGAAAGCAAATCGAAGATTGAGAAGTTTGACGGATCAGACTTCACCTACTAGAAGTCATAGATAAAGGACTATCTGTACCAGAAGGATCTTTACCGTCTGTTGATGGGAAAAGCTAAGGGAAAGAAGAAGGATGAGACCGACAAGGATTGGGAACTACTGAATCGAAAGGCTCTAGGATAACCGGTTGTCGCTCTCAAAGTCAGTCACCCACAACATATTAAAGGAGAAGATGACGGTGAGGCTTATGGAAGCGCTCGCAAATATGTACGATC